CTCACAAGTTAGAAGTCATATTCCTCACTCTCTCTCGAGCCCCATATCCAATCTGTTGCTGAGTTGATTTCACCTTTGCAGCATCTCTCAAATATGCCCCCTTCTTTCCTCCACCACTATTCTGGGGGTACAGACCTTTATTACCTCATGTCTGGACTACTACAATCGCCTGCTGGTAAGTCTGCCTGCCTCAAGACCCTCCCCACTTCAATCCATCCCCCATTCAGTCACTAAAGTCATTTTCCTACAGAGCATATCTGACCACATCTTTCCCCTACTCAATAAACTCCAGTGGTTCCCTATCACCTCCAGGGTAAATTCAAAATCTTGTTTGGTATTCAAAGCCCTTCATAACCTAGCCTCCCTCTTTCCAGTCTTTCTTACACCTTATTTCCTATCAAGTACTCTTTAATCCAGTGGCCCTGGCATTCTTGCCATTCCACAAACAAGATATCACTAAGCTCCAGGCACTTTCTCAGGCAGTGCCCTATACCTGGAATGCTCTCCCTCTTCATCTCCACCTCCTGGCTTCCTTGGCTTCCTTGAAATCCCAACTAAAATCCCTTAAATCCCAACTAAAGACAGCAAGTCTTTCTCGACCCTTCTTAATTCTAGTGCCTTCTCTCTGCTAATATTTCTTATTTATCCTACATACAGCTTGTTTGCATATATTTGTTTGCATGTTGTCTCCTCCATCAAAGTGTGAATTCCTTGAGGAAAAGACTGTCTGTTGCCACGTTTTTGTAACATGTGACACTCCTCCTGGCATATAGCAGGTGCTTAAGACATGTTAATTGATTGAAACTATATCTATTAAGTCCTCTTTATTTACATGTCTACTAATTTGCTCAATCAGTATTTATTTGGTGCCTACTATATGCATAGCCATGGGCCCTCAGGTATTAATCATAGCCAGGAAGTCAAAGGATTGAATGAACTCTTCCCCAAACAGAAACTATATTGCCTTTCCCCCAATAAGTTATTTTTGCATACACTCCACTAGCTTTCCTGATAAGGAAGATGTACCAGGAATGTAGATGACAAATGTCATAGCTAAAGATATAATTACAGTTCTATCTTTAGTTATGAAAGGAGGACTACAAATGCATACAAATCTATGCACTGGAGCAAACATCTGGTGATCTGAGTTCTAATTTTTTGTTGTTGGGTCCTTTTTCAGTCATATCTGACTCTTTGTGACCCCACTTGGGGTCTTCTTGACAAACAGGGTTAAGTGACTTGCCCAGGGTCACACAGCTAGTAAGTGTCTGAGGCCACATTTGAACTCAGGAAGATGGGCTAATGGCACTAAGCAAAACAAAATACCTTATTTAAATAACTGAACAGGAAGAAATGACACGTTCTGCCCTGCTTTTTATTCTCTGGGTAGCTTTTTGCCTTGAACTTCACTCCTACATTTCCAACTTCCTGATAGCTTTTCCACCTAGATGTTCCATGAACACTTCAGATTCAACATGTCCAAAACTGAGCTCCTCTTCCTCCTCTCACCCACCCCAACCTCTTTTTTTTTCCTTTCCCAACTACTTGCTATCTATGGATGGACCCATCATAGTCACTCAGGTTCAAAATCTGTCATTCTTTCACTCTTCCTTCTCCTTCATAGTCAAACCTGATAGGTAGCACAGTGGGCTACTGAGATGCTGGGCCTGGAGTCAGAAAGACCTGAATTCAAATCTAGCCTTAGGCCCTTATTAGCTGTGTGACCCTGGTCCAGTCACTTAATCTCTACTTGCCTCAGTTTCCTCAACTATAAAATGAGAATAACAACAGCACCTACCTTGCTGGGCTGTTACAAGGACAAAATGAGATAAATATTTGTAAAGCACTCAGCAGAATGCCTGGCACATAGTAGGTGCCATAAAAATGTTTATTCTCTTCCTCTTTCTTTTTCCTTCCCTTCTTCTCCCCTCCCCTTAGATCCTACCTTGGCAGTATAAATCCCATCTGTCCTCTCCTTTCTAGTCTTACTACTATCACCCTAATTTAGGTCCTCATTACCTCTTACTTGGATTATTATAATATGTTCCTCACTGATCTCCCTGCCTGTAATCCCTTACCTCTCCAACCCTTCCTTCACACAGCTGCCAAAATATCCATCCTAATTCACATTAGTTATCATGTCTACTCCTCAAAAACATTCAGTGGTGCCCTATTATCTGAACCAGGAGTTTTCCAAGTTATTCCCTTCTTAGTGAGTTGTTCACACGATCAGAAATCCATGGGTATAGGCCACGTGAATTTTAACTTCGTCAGTTTCATGAAGGAGAATATACATGCACAGAACTAGGTAGAAGCAAACATTGCCTAGAGTTCGGCCATATTGCCAGAAATTTCAGGTTTGGCTTGACCGTCCTACTAGTTCATTGGATTATCATAAATTCATCACAAATTTAGAGTTGGATGGTACTTTATAGGTCAGCTAGTCACCCCCTTCATTTTATAGCCAAGAGGAAGTTGTTTGTCCTTCATTCTCTTCTTCAGGAAGGTGCTGCCATAACATGCAAGTGAATTAGATTTAAGTGAGGGAGGGCTGTACAAAGTCACCAGCCTCACTTTCTCCTCCCAAGCCATCTGGGTCCAATGGCAAAATATAGATCAGGATAACTAGAGATGGCCCTGCCTGCAGTGGGAGACCTCGACCTTTTTAAACTGTCTTTAACAGTCTCAGTTTGACAGAGACAACACTCATTCAGTGATTAAGGTTAGGTAACAAAATGAGGCAGAGAATGGCCTCTTTACCTGGTCAAAAAAAATCCATCTGGGAGAAGACCCCTCAGAGTTTCTGGCTAAAACAGTAAGAATTTAACAATTTCAATTTACATTCGTTCTGAGTCAATCAGGGTTCAAACAATGGTGGGACTTCTTATTGTTTGCCAATCAATGAGAGCCAAAGTGGTTTGGGGTTAAGGCTGGTCTTTAACAAAGAAAAAACAAAACAAAAAGTTTCAGAGGTTAAAATTTACATTCCCTTTGGACAGAACACCCACAGGTAAGGGTGTGATACCCTATGTGGACAGAGGGATGAAGGGAGGGAGGGAAAGAAAGAGAGAGAGAGACAGAGACAGAGAAAGAGGAAGAAAGGAAGGAAGGAAGGAAGGAAGGAAGGAAGGAAGGAAGGAAGGAAGGAAGGAAGGAAGGAAGGAAGGAAGGAAGGAAGGAAGGAAGGAAGGAAGGAAGGAAGGAAAGAAGGAAGGAAGGAAGGAAGGAAGTCCAACTGGTCAGTTCCAGTTTGGTCCCCAGTGGGCAGCTCCTTTTCTATTAAAAGAGGTGATTGTTTGTCCTTCATTCTCAAAGAGGACCATGATATCAGGGAAGTGATGCTGTTGAGGTTTAGGGGTGATGGAGCCCCAAAGTCACAACACACAAGTCCTACCTGAATGAATTTGACCCAAGCCTTCTTTCAGCCAAAGACAAGATATATTAAAACATCCGCCATATTGGCCAGACTCTTAAGGAATCTGAAAGTTAGTGAACTTTTGGCTAGATTTGAAGAATCTGAGCACCTTAATGGAGACAAGATGGACCTTATGTACAGAAAGACTGTGGGAGGGAACTAGAAGTGGCCAAGTAGGGGTGACTGGAGAGGTCTCAGGAAGATCTGAATGGTAGTGCCAGTAAGCTGGGGTGAACAGAACTCCAGGGACCTGGACCACATGGCCAAGAGAGAATGGAGTTTAGATAGGATGGGTGGGGGTCATCTAGGGGTAATAGACAATGGAGGGGTAGATAACAGAATTGGGAGACTGGGCTTAGGCAGTAATGAAAGGCCAGTTGATAGGATTATAGCCTCAGGTGAACACCAGAGATTTGGCCATGTGCGAAAGTCCAGGGTTTTTCTTTTTTGGGGCCCAGATCCCTCATCAATGCCATGACATGCAAATGAATTGGATTTAAGTGAGAGAAAGTGACTTGTTCATAATCACATAGGTAGTAAGTAACAGAAACAGGATTTCAACCTAGAATCTCTGACTCCAAATCCGGTCTTCTTTCTACTGTGCCAGGCTGCTTCTCGTTTTCATGTGTGCTAGGAACATTTGTTTATTTTTTATTTTTTTTGCTAAAAACGTAAGGTAGGGGGCAGCTAGGTGGTGCAGTGGATAGAGCTCCAGCCTTGGAGTCAGAAGGATCTGAGTTCAAATACAGCCTCAGACACATAACACGTATTAGCTGTGTGACCCTGGGTAAGTCACTTAACCCCATTGCCTAACAAAAAAAAATTAAAAATTAAAAAAAAACCATAGGCCACAGCCTCAGGTCAGGTGGGTCACATTGTCCTCATGGGCTCCCTGTCAAGCCTAACTGATTAAATACAAATTTTTCATCCAACTTTGTCTCTACTTCTCCTTTGTCCTTATCATAGTCTACCTTTTTATCATATTTATTTACCTATATGAGTTTCACAGGACAGGAAGTGTCTATCTTCTATTCATTTCCCTATACCCGGTACCTATTACAGTAAATTGCACATCATAGGTGCTTAATACACATCTGTTTAGGTGAATCTAACACAAGATTGATGTAGGTCTGGCAGTAATTGCTAAAATGAAATTTAACTGATTCACAGACTGTTCCCAAAAAATAGAGAGAGGTAGGGGTGTGGGTATGGGTGTGTCTGTAAGGGGGAATGGGTCAAGAGACTCGCCAGCTGGCATCATTGAAAACAAAACTTCCCCATAAAAGAGGGGAAGTAGAAGACTAAACCACCTCCTGGGACAAGACTCTTGTGTGCAAATCCTAACAACTTCAGAGTAGTTTCAATAGGGAAAGGATAGTTTTTTAACAGGCAGGGGTTCTCTGTGACAGGGTGATCGGTTAGCCTGGCTTGGTTTTCATCATACCCAGTCTTTGCCACTCCTGTCTCCCTAAATTCAGTGTTTCATCTTGCTGTCACCACCCAGAAATTCCAGAAGGGATGGGCCTTTCCCCTTGTAGAAAGTATTTCTGCGCACACAAGGATTAGACTCTCTCTTCCTTCCCACCTGTTGCCTGACTTCACAAACATGCTGAGCTTGTCTGGTGTTCAGATCTCTTTCCTGTCAGTAAAAGAGTAAGGGATGTTCAGATTACAATGTATCAGCTCTTGGTTGAGTAACTTATTCCATTTAAACTATGTAGCTCTTCCAAATTAAGTTCAGGCTATGCTATTGCAGTTGGCTCTTAGATGAAGTGCAGTCCCAAGGTCATGACTTTGACCTTGTCTTTTCCTGCCCCTCTCTTGAATTAGCATCCCTGGCACCCCCTTTCCTTCCCTCTAGTTCCTGAGCTGAAGAGATAAATAGCCCCTGAGGATTATCTCTGGTCTTTTGGACCTTTTAGGATTTAATTTACCTGACGTCTGCAACCTTCAGTGAGAGTCTTTCTTCCCTGCCTCTTTGTAGCCTGGAGATAATCCTGGGTTCTCAAAGGCTATGCCAGTAGGGCACAGGCCCTGGCAAGCCCTATTAAGCACGAAAGATTTTTGAATATGGACCCAGAGACAGACTGTATGTCATCCAAGGACCAGTGAAACCATGTTGGGAAAGAGGTATCACTCTGCTGACTATAGGATGATAAAATGTTCAGCCCAAAGATCAACATCTAAATAGTAGAAGGGTTATGGTCTGTGTTGGTGGATCACAGAGGGAGTACCTACACAGTCAAAATTAGATTCTTGAAGTACTGAAATACTAACTGCACAAGAACTCCAAACCCAGGACATTAATGCTACACTCTTTTCATAATTTTCAGTGAGATCTTTTTCTCCTATATCATCTCCATTTCCAAATACATCACTTCTCTTCTCCCTAGCCTGCCATCTCTTGTAAAAAAGAATTTTTAAAAAGAGGGGAGGAGAAAGCAGTTTAGGAAAATGAGCCTACATACTGCGCCTAACAATGTAAGTAATTTTCCCTGATCATAGCCGCCCACCTCAACAACAACAACAACAGTAACAACAAAAAGGGGAGGAAATACATTTTTTCTTTTCTCTTTTCCTTTGGGATCAAATTGATCATTTCAATTTCACGGTTCAGTTTAGACTGTGTTTTGCTGCTGTTCTTTCCATTTGCATGGTTGTCGTCATTGTGTAAAGTGTTTTCCTAGTTCTACTTACTTCATTTTGTGATGTGACTCTAATTCTACCCTCTCACTCTTTCACCCGCAATCATGCCGACCTGGGGGATGAAGGGCCCTCTCACTGTTGCCTCACTTCGTCATGGGAGGTGACGGAGTATACAGACAGCATCTCACACTCACTCCCACGTACACGGACACATCTACACTAGGCTGTGCAGGTGGGGGATGTAGTCACGAGGACCGGAGGGATATTGGAACAAATGACGTTAAGTTAGGATCACAGCTACGAGAATTAATTAGACATCTGGGGGCGGCCCACAGCATGTTTGTATTTTCCATGCTTTCCCACAGGGCTGGGAAGGAGCAATGGTCACCATGCTCCTAGAAAACCCAGTGGTCAGTGAGGGTAGATTTGCCTGACTTGTTTTATGGAAAGCAACCACCCTGATAGGAGATCCAGAAATTAGAAGGTCTGTACTCTCTCTCTCTCTCTCTGTCCATCTCTCTCTCTCTCTCTCTCTCTCTCTCTCTCTCACACAGACACATACACACACACACACACACATGCACACATACATGCAGAAGAGGGTGCTGGTCTGTTTCACTCTATTCTGTTCCTAGACATAGAAGAAAGCTTGGAGTTCATAATTAGTCCATGCTTCAAGTCCTCTGGGAACTTCTTTGTCCTTACCAGACAGCAAACACTGTCCTAAAGTCATCCAGAAGTTCCCATATGCCAAAGATGGAGCCTGCCAAAGCTTCCATGAGCTCGTGTGCCCAAACGAATGACTAGCTGGATAATAATATCTTACAGTTGTTGATTTACAGTTTAGAGAGCACTTTCCCCTCTACCCATCTCCTTTCAGCTTCAGAACAACTCCAGGAGAGACCCACGGAAGGTATTAGTAACCCAATGTTACAGGTGAGGAAATTGCAATGCAAAAAAATTTAGCACCTTGTCCAAGACCAGAAGACCAGTGAAGTCCAGGAACACAGCTGAGATCTCTCTCCTGGGTTCAGTATTCTCTTCATCATATCGTCCAGGCTTCAGACAGGTCATAACAGCAACAGGCCCGGGTTCATTAATGTTTTGATACTTCCCTGCACCTTGTAGAGAGTAAGCACTTAATAAATGTTTTTATTCATTCATTCATTCATCTCGTCAAATGGGGACCTCCTTCTAATGATGCAGATTGCAACTCATCTACACCTTTTCTTCCAGTGTGACTCTTGCCTATGTTCTCTCATATATCCTCCATAGGGTATCCATCCAAAGTGCTAAGGGACTTTCTCTATCTATAGCATTTTTGAGGGTACAACTGGAGTCCATCTTCATGCTGCCATGATCCTTCAATCTAGCCTCTCCCCCTCATCTGGCATTCCATTTCTCACCCCCAAGGAGACCCTGAATCATTTCTGCTTGGTGAGCTCTCAGTCCAATCAGTCTTTGTGACCAGGCCATCTTTGTGACATGCTACCACAAGTATGCAAGTGTACTTTTGATCCACCCCAACACACACACACACACACACACACACTCTCTCTAGCTTTCTACTTCCAGTTCTCAGAACAGTAATCAAATCAACACTACTATTCCTAAAAAGGACATGACAATCATTTGCTCCATGACTCCAGTTACCATCCATTTGGAGACTTCTCCAACCAAAACACCATTCATTCCCTGACTACTATTCCTCAAATACGTTTTTTTTTTCTCCTAGAAGAAAATAAGCTCCTTGAGGAAGGAGACTTTCTTGCTTTTTTTTTTAGCCTTCACTCTGCACAGTACCTTGCAAATACAGTAAGTGCTAAATAGTGTTTTTTTGATCATTCTATCTCTTATCCCTTGTTCTTATTACATGACTATCCCCCGCCTCCTTTTCTGGTCACATAGAAATATCTTTTATGTAGTTCTGAGGCAACACCCCTCATCGGTAATATCTATAGCCCATTTATACCCACCATGAGCCTCTGCATTGGCCTTTGTGTGACCTGTAACTTCAATTCTTCAGAGACTGCCATATTTCAGTAAATATCTGTTCAATTAAATCCACATTAAGTAATTTCAATTCACACAAATAAGAGTACTGAAAAGGAGGCTGTTAAGTTGGGGCACAGAGCCCCTGTGCTCCATGCCAACAACAATCTTCACCCATCCACACCTATTTACAAGATTTGAAGTTAGGCACTTAGGGGCACTTATCCTCTTCCTTTGAGGTGACTTGGAAGAATGTGACATAGGTTCCACAAGATATAGAACTAGAAGAGACCTTAGGGATCATGCAGTCCAATCTCTACATTTCCATCAAATATGGATGAGATAAGTGACTTGCCCAAGGTCATACAGAAAGTGCTTGTTGATGATTCACACCACCTGCACTATTGCAGCAGCATTCAGATGAGTCTGCCTGGCTCAAGTCCCTCCCCACTCCAATCCAGCCTCCATTCAGCCTCTAAAATGATTTTCCTAAAGCAAAGATCTGACCACATCTCACACACACACACACACACACACACACACACACACACACACCATTCAATAAACTCTAGCAGCTTCCTTTTGGCTCCAGAAACAAGTACAAAATGCTCTGTTTGGCATTCAACGCCCTTCATAACCCAGTCCCCTCCTACCTTTCCAGTCTTCTTACATGTTACTTCAGCTACACACTCTTCACTCCAGTTACACTTGCTTCCTGGCCATTCCACGAACAAGAAACTCCCCATCTCTCAGCTCCAGGTGTTTTCTCTGGCTATCTTCCATAACTGGAACACTCTCCCTTCTCCACTGTGATTACTGACCTCCCTGAGGAAGAATACAGGTGGAAATTTAGGTTTGTAAAACAAAAGATATCAATAAAATTAATTTTTAAAAAAATAGACATGTGTCTAGTCTGAATCATGATAATATATATCTGCCCATTTGGAAGAGTGAGAGAACACAGTGAATATTAATAATTGCTCATATGTATAATAATTGCTCATATGGATAGCTATTACCAATAGCTCAAAGTTTTTAAGACTTGCAAAGTAGTTCCCTCACAACAAACCAATGAGGTAGGTAATGCAAATATTATTCCCCCCATTGTATAGATGATGACACTGAGGCTCACAGCTAAGTGAATGTCAGAGCTGGAATGCAAATCCAGTTCTCCTAGTTCGAACTTCAGTATTTTTCCCACAACATCCTGCTACTTCTCAGTAACTGTGGAAGGAAGAGAATAAGCATTTCTATAAAGCTTACTCTGTGCCAGGCACTGTGCTAAGCACTTTTTACAAATTGTATCTCATTTGACCCTCAAAACAACCCTTCGACATAAATACTATTATCTTCATCTTACAATTGAGGAAACTGAGGCAAACATAGGTTAAGTGACTTGCCCAAGGCCACACAGTTAGTAAGTGACATGGGATTTGGACTTGGGTCTTCCTGATTCCAGGCCAGTGCTCTGTCTGCTGCACCAGCTAGCTGAATCTAAGTTCAGGGTTAGACACACAGCAAACATGATGCATATTCTGAACCCGAGGGCAGAGAAGGAGGCTGCATGGTCCCTGGGTGTTCTCCCAGGGTTTGGGAAGTGTTCCCTAAAGACCCTTGCCAACGCATTTGGCACATCACTTGGAGATGAACCAAAGGGTTTCATGACTTACAACTTCATAGGTAGCTGGCCACTGGGTAGCAAGACTCCTCTGAAGCCAAATGACAGCCAAGTCACCATGTACTCTTGTGGGCTCACTAGCCTGAGCAGGCTGAGCTGTGCTCTCATGGAATCCTAGAAGTAGACACAGCAGCAATCTACAGTAATGTATCTAGTCCTGCATAGAGTTTACTTTGTATATATTTGCATGTTGTCTTCCCCAGTAGATTGTAAGCTCCTTGAGGGCAGGGACTTGTCTTTTGCTTCATTTATATCCCTAGCACTTAGTACAGTGCCTGGAACATAGAAGGAGCTTAATAAATGTTGATTGAACATGACTAATATAGAAATTATGTTTTGCATGATTGTACATGTTTAACATATATCAAACTACTTACCATCTCAGGGAAGGGGAAGGGAGGGAGGGAGAGAGAATTTAGAACTCAATATTTTAAAAAATGAATGTTAAAAATGGTCTTAATGTAACTGGGGAAAAATAAAATATAATTAGAAAGAGAAAAAAATGTTGATTGATTGATAGATAACATGCAAACAGCTATGTACAAATGAGATACATACAAGATAATTGGAGATTATCTCAGAGGGAAGGCACTAGTATTGAGGGGGTCTGGGAAAGTCTCTGGTAGAAGCTGGGATTTTAACTGATACTGGAAGCCAGGAAGCCAGAAGGTTTGTTTTAGGAACTGTACTTTATTCCTCCCCCCATTGTCTTTCTCCACTAAAACAGCTTCAATTTTTACTCCATCAGCCCTACCAGCCAACCCCATCTCCTATGCACATTTATAGAACAAATTAAGTACTCAAGTGGATCCCTGATTTTACCCATGACTGTAGATATTTCCTCAACCACTCCATGTCTTCTCACCTTATAATGAGATCAGTAGGGCCCAAAGTTTTTAGAAGGGAAAGGTATCAAGGAGTTCTGAAACTTCCAGGTATGATATCCATTCATTCTCCTTAGGATCATAAGAGCTAGTGTTTAGAATCTTAATATCACAAGGGATCATGGAGGTAGTCATTTGAAACAGAAAACCTAGAAATCATTTTGTTATGTTTTAAAGAAGCTATTTTAAAAAGAGAGAGGGAGAGGGAAGAGAAGATACATTACATTAAATGGGAGAAAAGATGAAAGAACTTAAGGCACATAATTTAGGTTGTTCAAGCAGAACTATATGCAAACATAGAAGTGGAACGGCTGGTGGGCACTTGAACTTCTCTTACTTCTAAACTCATCAAAAGAGGAGACAAAAAAGAAGGTTCCTAAGAACTAGAGCTCTAGCTGTTGTGATCCTGGGTAAGTCACTTAACCCCAATTGCGTCACTCAAAAAAAAAAAAGCACTAGAGCTAAAATAGATGTTAGAGGTTACCTACTAGTCCAACATACTCATTTTATGGATCAGATTTACAGCTGGAGACCTTAAAGGTCAAAGGGTTTGCCTAGGATCACACAGCCACTAGGTGTCAAGGCTGGATTAGAACCCAAGTCTTCTTATGTTTCTAGTGGACTTAAGCCTAAACCACAAATGAGCCCCATTCACTCTAAATAATCCATACACCAGACAGAACTCACGTAAGAGGGGGAAAGTCTTTGCTGGACATTTAAGTTAGCAATGTCGAGGGAAGCCTAGTTTTCTTTTCTCATATTTAAATTTTTTTAAATTTAATTTGATGTTTTTTTACTGAGGCAGTGTGGTGAAGTAGATAAAGCTTTCCTCAAAATCAGGAATCCTCTCAGTGTTCTAGGAAACTCTCTGAATTACAGAGAAGATGCAAACTAGTACTGGTAAAAGGACTTCCTCACCTGGAAGCTCCCTATACTAACAAAACCTCAAATCCTGTCCCTCTATCACATTTCCCAATGTGTCCCTTTCAGAGAAGTATCTCAAAACAAAAAATAAGGAGGGGAAAAAAACCATAGTTCGGTAAAACTAACCAAGGTATTGAAGAAGTCTGACATTACATGCAGTATTTCACGCTCATAGTCCCCCACTTCTTCAATAAAGGATAATGGAGAAGGGGATACTTTCTCATAATTCTTCTTTGGAGTCAAACATGGTCATCATAATTTCACAGCACGCATTTTTAAGGGCACCCTGCTTTTCTACATCAATGAAAATATTTGCTGCCCTTCATTCCAAAACAGGGCCAGCTTCAAGCCCCCTTGCTAGATGGACAATCAATCAACAAACATTTATTAAATACATAAATACATATGCTGTGGTTGGCCCTGTGCTAGGTGCTCTGGATATGAAGGCAAAACAAACAGCCCATACCCTGAAGGCAAAAAAAACCTAAGTGTCTAGAAGACAGTAAATATATAACGTGTGGGATGAGAGAAGGGGCTGGAAATGGTATGGCTTATTCACTTAACTTCTTCATAATATTGAACTTTCTGCTATAATGCCCTTAGAGCACCTTTCATTTTGTTATATTTAATCCAGAATTCCTTGATGGAAACACACACACACACACACACACACACACACACACACACACAGTCTTCGTTACCAAACTATCCTTCTCCAGAACTACCATCCTCTTAGTTACCCACTGCTTGCAAACTTAGTATTTCCTAGATTCATGATTCTAATCCAGTTAGTTGTCAAATCTGATCATTTTTAACTCCACAAAATCTCTCCCATGGGTCCCTTTCTCTCTTTTCATAGCCACCACCCTAGTTCAAGTCCTCGTTAGCTCTGGCTTGGACTATTGTAATAGCCTCCTCCTTGGTCTTTCTGTTTCCACTCTTATTTCATCACAATTTGTCCTCCACACAACCTCCAAAATATATTTCTGAAAGCTCAGATCTGACCATGTCATTCTTCTACTTCGAAAACTCCAATGACTCCCTGTTGCTTCTAAAATCAAATATAAACTCATCTTTTTTGGCATTTGAAGCTCTTAACCTGCTTCCTTCCTACCTTTCTGGTCTTCTTATAGAATATCTCCCTCCAGGCATTCTATAGTCTAGCCATACATGCCTGCCTACTTGTCTTTCTTCATACTCAAAGCTTCATCTCCCATATATCTTTGTAATGTCTGTTTTTCATCCCTAGAATGTCTTCCCTTCTCACCTCAAGTTCTTGGAGTCCTTGGCTTCCTTCAAAACTCTACTCTAGCGGCTGCTAGGTGGCACAGTGGATAAAGCATCCACCCTGAAGTCAGGAGGACCTGAATTCAAATCTGGCCTCAGACCAAACACTTGAAACTTACTAGCTGTGTGACCCTGGGCAAGTCACTTAACCCCAACTGAAGGAAGAAAGAAAGAAACACCTCTACTCAAATACCACCTTCTACAGGACGTGTTTCTTGCTCTTCCTGGCTGCTAGAGCTTGATCTCCCAAATGATCATGTATATATTTATATATGTACATATTGTCTTCCCAGGTAGAATATAAGAATAAGAAGGCAGAGACTTTTACTTTTGTCTTTCTATCTCCAGCACTTGACACAGTGCCTGCTCAATTGATTAATGAAATGCATTTACTTCTGTCTTTTATGAAATGCTGAGATAGCAGATTTTGGGGGTCCTCCACCTACTCCATTTACCGAACTCAAGTTTTTATTTGTTGCCAAGTCCTATCATTTCTGCCTTTGTACCATCTCTCACATATGCCTTCTTCTCTCCTGTCGATCACCCCGGTGCAGGCCCTCATCACCTTATGCCTGGATTATTGAAATGGCCTGCTAGTTGGCCTCCCTGCCTCACTTGGGTCTCTCCCCATTCCAGTACATCCTCCACTCAGCTGTCAAGGCATCTTCTTAAAGAATGAGTCTGGTGCTAGGTGTCACCACCACTACCATCATCGCCACCCTGTTCAGAAAACTCTAAAGATTCCCAATCACCTTTAGTCAAATACAAAATCTCTGATAGGACTTTCAAAGCCCTTTATAACCTGGCCACCTCCTATCTCTGGAGGCTTCTTACATTTTACTCCCTTCCATGCATTCTTCAATCCAATGATGCTGACCTCCTTGCTGTTCCTGGCACAAGACATTATATCTCCTGACTGCTCCAATTTTTATTGGCTGTCTCCCATGCCTGGAATTCTCTACCTCCTCATCTCTGCCTCTAGACTTCCTTTAAGTCATAGCTAAAATCTCACTTTCTACAA